AAAAAAAAAAAAAAAAAAGATTTTTGTAGTGTTGTGGAGGAGGCAAAAATTATGAGGGGGGCAGACCAAGCAGTGAGGCATAGCCGTTCACCTAGCAGGAGGCGAACTTTACCACTATCATCGGAGAATGGCTGGTGCACAGCAAAAATCAAATGCAGACAAACTCTTGGTCAGTTTTACTAATGGTTTTAAATTAACTACAGATATTTCTCCCCACACTGCCTGCTCCCAGGGCAGTCCACTCCCACCACCGCCACCCTTGACACACCACTGCTTCCTTCATTTCAGATGTTAGCGTTTCAAGTATAGCTACTAAAGATTTAGAAATAGATTACACAATTTCCATACAGAGAGGAGGAATAAAATTTATAATATGGAAAAATATGAACACACAAGAATTCAGGAAAGGAGGAGGAAATTCAAGGTGCAACAAAAAAAAAAAAATAGGACAAATAAGGTGATAAAAAAAAAAATGTCAATTATTACCAAAACAAAAAATGAACTCTTAGATCAAACTACCATTTTATAGAAAATGAGCAGACATAACTCTTTAAATGGTATCTTCCAGGATAACTAAAAACACTGCAATCTTGGAGACTATAATTGTTTTCCGATATAAAATTCAAGGAGAAAAAGAAGAGAGATGGGTAGGGTTTTAAAATATCTGCCAATCCATGGCATTGTGTGGATTTTGTTTGAATCCTGATACATACAAAGAAACTAAAAACACTATGAGACAATCAAGAAAATTGGGATGCTGGCCGGATGGTTTGAAAGAATTGTTAATTTTTTAAGGTGCCATAGTGGTTTTGTGGTTATGCTTTCTTTGACTTCTCCGTTTTTTAAACCTAATTCTTAAGATTTTAGGTGACTTAAAAATGTCATGTGTAACTAAATTGGAAAGATGCAAATGCTTCTCTACTAGCCAGACATACTACATCCAACCTTTTGGAGTTTCTAGTCAAATTTGGTCTACTCATCTTCTGGAGTATTCCTTCTCAAATATATTTTGTGACACAAGAGTGATATTTTGTCGTCTTTTCATACATGTGATCTTATTAATCTCTAAAAAGTTTTTAACACTTTAATCTATAACTTGTACGAGGAGAGGTACATAAAGTACACATGCTGGTTGATGAACAAACAAAACAAATCATTAACAAAACAGAGAATTCTCAGGCAGATACGGCCCCCAAGAAAGACAGCATTGCCCACATTTCCGGAAACCTCTTTCTTATTCCTTCTTGATCATGAATTTACCTTCACCTTTTAAAAAAAAATATTTTAAATGAATATAGTAGACATTTTTTCATAGACGGTTTTGCTTCACGTTGTGTTTATGAGATTAAGCCATTTCTTATCTCCCCTGTAAAGCAAACATTTTTGAAAGAGTTGCCTGCATTCCTTATCCCTAATTTCTTTCTTCACACTTTATCCCAAACCCATTCATTTGAATTTTTTGTTTTCAATGCTCTGCCAGATATACTTCTGTCAAGGTCATCAGTAACACCACCTTTGCTAACACAGGGTCAGTTGCTCCTTCACCCATTGGTAGCACTGTCACCACGATCACTGTCTGCTCCTTGAAATGGTTCCTCACTGACCTTAGGACAAGGAGCACTCTTAACTTTCTTCCTTCTTCACTGGCTGTATCCTTTGCTGGCCTCTCTTCTCTCTGAGGTTTTAGCTTTAAAGCATCTTCTTCTTAAGTCCATAGATGTTCTTTTCTCTCTTCAATCTTTGATGAGTGTCTACAGTCTCTATTTTTATATACTGATGACTCTTAAATAAATGATAGCTGAAGCCTTGACTTCCCCTCATGAACTTCAGGCCTGTACCCACCTGCCTACTTGCGTGTCTGTTTTGGATGTCCAGTGGACACCTCCAGTTCAGCATCTAGATGGAATCTTAGCCATTTTTGATGTCCAGTGCACACCTCCAGTTCAGCGTCTAGATGGAATCTTAGCCA